TTTTTTTTTTTTGGAACTGAGGATTGAACTCAGGAGTTGCTTAACCACTGAGACATATCCCCCAGCCCCTTTTTATACTATATTTGGAGACAGGGTCTCACTAAGTTGCTTAGGTCCTCCCTAAGTTATTGAGGCTGGCTTTGAACTCTCAATCTGTCAGGAACTGCCACATAGGAACCGAGCGCCCCTTAGCCTTGAGTGATGAGTTTTCTTATAGATTCTTGTAGATTCCTTGGGTGTTATAGATGTATGATCACATCATCTGTGGATGGTTTTACTTCTTTCCAACTTGGATGCTTTTCTTTCTGTCTATCCAGTTACTCTGGCTAGACTTCCAGTATAATTTTAGATAGCAGTGATTTAAGTGGGCACCCTTGCCTTATTCCTTCTCTTACGGGAAACATTTCCAATTTTTCACCATTGTGTATGATGTTAGGTGTGGATTCTTCATAAGTGTCCTTTATCATGTTGAAAAAAATCTTGTCTATTACTAGTTTTCCGAGAGTCATGATGATAAAAGTGTATTGAATTTTGACAACTTTTTGTGAATCAATTAAATGGACCCAGGATTTCCCCTTTGTTCTGTTTATGTGCTATATCACATTGATTTGTGTTCATTACTTATTTATTTTGTGGTTCTGGGGATCAAACCCAGGGCCTTGTGCATATGAGGCAAGCACTCTACCAACTGAGCTATCCCAGTTCATTATTGACACACTCCTGAGATACTGGAATGACTTCTACTTGGTTGTGAGTCTGAGCCTTTCAGTATTCTGCTCCATATAGTTGCTCTGATTTTGGCGAAGATATTTGCATCTATATTCACAAGGGATAAGGTCTGCAGTTTCCTTTTACTCTAGTATCTTTGCCTGGCTTTGTTATAGGGGTTTGAGGATCTTAGTCTCATAGAATGAGTCCATTTCTTAGGAAGAGTTTGACAAGGGTTGGTGTTAATTCTTTAAATTGTTAATTCTTAAAAGTTCTAACTTTCAAAATTTAGAAGTGTTAAAGAAGAGGAAACAATTCTCAATACACCCTGTGAGGTCAGTGTTACATAAGAAAAATGCAGAACAATGTCCCCTGTAGATAGAGATACAAGAATTCCCAATGAAATCAAAGCCACTCCGGCAATATCACCAACTGGCCAGACTGGTGATATGAGCTGGGTTCAAAGGAGCTGGCTGTATCAATAACTAAGAAAACGGCAAAGAAACCTCACAGCACATGAACATAAGTTTCTAAGGCAGGACAGCTTGGTGACCCAGCAGTCAGCTCCAGCACTGGAAGGAGCAAGAGAGGGAACACACCTGGAACCTTCTATTGGGGAAAAGACATTCAAGAATATTCCAATCGAATAAGGCAAGGGATTGGGTTTTGAAAGGTGGAGTCTTGCTTGCTGATGTCTTGAGGTCAGCAGATTGACATCTTGGAAAGACACACCCATCTCAGGTGCTGCGTGGGATCACAGGCAGAGCGAGAGGAAAGGCACACATATGTCACACAGCCCAGTCAGACAGCAATGTCAGGCCAGTCCCCTCATGAGCGCAAATGTGTATAGCTCACACACACAGCCCATGGCTAGCTCGTGACATGACAACATACAAAAGGCTTCATGCCTCATCCAGGTGGGGTTCTGGGCCTCTGGGAATGCAGGTTAATTATATATCCCCAAATCAGTGCCATTATATACCACAAGAGTGAAATAAAAGACAAAAGTCACATGATCATCTCAGTAGGTACTAGAAAGCATTTGAGAAAATGCAGCACTTTCTGATAAAGACACTCAACTAATTAGGAATGAAAGGAGTTCCCTAAACCTGATCAAGCATTTGTATGAAAACCCATAGTTAACATAGTGGTTGTCCCTTGTTTTCAAATTGTAGTAAGAACATCATATGAGAACTATCCTCTGATGGAGTTTTTAAATGCCCAGTACAGAATCGTTGACTGTTGGCACATTGTAGAGCAGACCTCTAGGACTTATTCATTTTGCATAACTGAAACTCTACACCCCTTAACAGTGACTCCCCAGCTCCCTGCCCTCCTGACTCTGGCAGCGATCCTCTCTGCTTCTGTGACAGCGTCACTCTTGATAGTTGAAACAATGAATGCATTCTCTCTACACCAAGGGCAGGACAAAATGTCTCTCTCGTCACTCTTGCTAGATAGTCACTGGAAGCTCTTACAGAAGCAAGTCGGCAATAAAAACCTGGAGAACCTGGAGGAGAGGACGAAGGACACCTGTGTCCACTTGCAGGGGGCATGATGTCCAATGGAACCCTCGGAGCACTGAACAACAAGTGCAGCAAGGTTTTGGAATACAAGATCCATATACAAAAATCAGTTGTATTTCTAACACTTGCAATGAATAATCTGAAAATTAAATTAAGAAATAATTCCATTTAAAATAGCATCAAAAAGAATAAATTAGGGCTGGGGTTGTGGCTCAGTGCTAGAGCACTTGCCTAGCACTCGTGAAGCACTGGATTAGATCCCCAGCACCATATAAATATAAATAAGCAAAATACAGGTATTTTTAAAAATGACACCATGTTTTTTTAAAAAAAATAAATTAATTAAGAATTGCCAGGCACAGCAATGCATGACTGTGTTTCCAGCAACTAAGTAATTCATTCTGCCCCATTGCTCCAGGTTTTTTGCCTACTTGCTTCTGTAAGAGCTTCCAGTGACTATCTAGCAAGTGCCAAGAGATGACATTTTGTCATGCAAGTTCCAGGCCAGCCTCAGCAACCTAGTGAGACCCTGTCTCAAAATAAAAATTGAAAAGGCCAGGGTGGTAGCTCAGCTGTAGAGCACCTCTGGGTTCAGTTCCCAGCACTGCAAAACAAATACACCAAATGTTTAGGAATAAATTTAAGCAAAAAGTAGTACACATATAATCAAATCATACCCTGAAACTAATAAAACATTTTTGGGGGGTACTGGGTTTTTGAATCCAGGGGTACTTTACCACTGTACTTTACACCAACTGTTTTTGTTTTTTATTTTGAGACAGAGTCTCAGTAAGTTACTTAGGGCCTTGCTCTGGATCTGCGGACGCCCAGGCTCCGGATATTGCAAGACTGTTATTAAAGTCTCACTTTTTTTTTCCTTTCTGTACCTGATGTCTCCTTGCCCATTCTTTGGGATTGGGCAGGTCAGCTTGTTTCTCACAAGACCCAGGCATTTGTTACAAAGTATACTTCTAAGTTACATTTCAGTTTATGTTCTAATTTAGTTTGCA